AGTTGCGCAAATTGGGGAAGGATACAAACGAGTATGAAGTCTGCGAGTATGAAATTTTTCTTCATCACCTGATTATTAAAGGCAAACGAACTGCCGAATTATTAAACTATGATGTTTGTATTAATGCAGTCAAGGTAGACAAATCAAGAATACTAGAGAACAAAAAAAGTACTATAATCTCAAAAACAAACTAGAAACCTTTCAGGATACAGGTGAAAAACACATGATATTTGTCTTCTATTAAATGCATTAAACACGATTCCATTCGCATCAATTGAATCGTAAAGGGCATTCTCGGTAGCAAGACTTTTCATTACTAAAATAAGAATTAGATTGAGTGATTGGAGTATCGACCAACTTTGCTTTTTAAAATCTTACAAAAATTTACAATATTTTGTATTATATTTTATTTAAAAACAAAAATTATCTAAGTTAAAAGTTTGATCTAAGTTCATTTTTTTTTATTTTCAAANAAAAGCCTTCAAAAACCATACTTATAGTTACACTAGCGAAAAATCCAATTAGGAACATTTAGTTTAATAGTTACCAGTACTTTTCACACAAAAAATGTGGGTGTAGTTATGATACCTTGTTTACAATTCACTATAACGAAAATGGGGTTCCATAATACCACCTTCTCCTCTAATTTTATTTAAACAACAAAAATTACTTTCTAAGTTAAAAGTTTGATCTAAGTTCATTTTTTTTTATTTTCAACTCAATTCAAAACATTTTTTTGTTGTTGTTGTTATATGCAGTTTCCAGCAAACTTTAATAGATTTGTTCTATTTTTGAAAATTTCTACGTAATTCAAAGGTAATTTTTAATGTATATCTTACACAGCATTATTAATATGATTTTGGAGGTTACAGAATGTATTAAATTACTTTAAAAAATGAAAAATAATAATATCATTTGATTTCAAGATATTTTGTATATCTTAAAAATAATTAATTCTATCCCAGGAAACAGTTCACTTTTATCCCGGAATCCTGGGACAAGCAAAAGACCGGGAAATGAGAAACAATAGTTTACATATATTAAATGGCCAATGCATAAATGACTATCTGGCAAATTTCACTTTTATTTCTTCGAACGGTATGTTGGTAATAGACTTGGTAGCATTAAATGTTAATCTGTTGGACAAGTTGAAAGACTTCAAAACCTTGGACAAATTCAGTTAAGACCATTTTCCTACTTCTGCAATACAGTAGAGCAGGGGTGGCCAACCTTTTGCATACCATGCGCCAATTTTTTGATAAACGAGTTCAGATGCACAGTGGCGTACCGTGGGTGTTAGCCGCCCGGGGCGGAGAAAAATTTCGGCCACCCTTTAATCAGGTATTTCAATTTAAAAGATCAAAATTCAGTTGTGTGAAAAAAAAATTAATAAAAAATGCAGTGGTGGTGTAGTTACCCGTACAAAATAGTCCCATTTGACATTAGTGGCATAGACGATTGCGAATGTATCGTGAATCGTAGAAGCCAAAAAAAAAAAAAAAAAAAAAAAAAAAGGTCAACAGGTGTAGCAGTCCAACCGACTCGTGGACTGTCCGGACGGTAGCACTGTCATTTAGACGCCTATGCACTGATCGAAAATAAACATACATGCATACACTGTCATTTAGACGCCTATGCACTGATCGAAAATAAACATACATGCATACACTGTAATTTACTGTGGAGAACACTCATTTTATCTGTAAAATTGATTGCAACGAATTGTGCAACAAATGAACTTGCCAAGACAGACTATAAAAAAAAAANAGCTACATTCCTTTCGTTGCTTCTCGGGTTAGCCCAACCGCATACCCAAGTCAAGGAAAAGAAAAACGAGAACATTCCAGGAAGGGTAAACAAATAGGACAGACAGAGGTGAAGCGGGAAATATACAAGATAAAATAACACAATTATATACGAAATATATGATTACATATGGCGTGTAGCCAAATATGTCAAGTAGTGAAATAGTATATGCAGTAGAGCGTCGATTATTCGAAAGAATTCCAGTCGGCAAATTTAAATTTTCACCAGTGCTGCGGCGCTGCAATCTTTGGCTACGTCTTGGGCTACTCAAATATTTTACGTTTTTGATACTAAATTAACATCTGAAATATAATTTTTATTATTTTTATATTTTTCAATATATTTATTATATTTGTACAAAATAAAAAAATAATTTTTAACGATACAATAGTCTTCGTTGAGCTTAACATCGACAAAAATTCAACGCGAAGCAACACGCAATGGAGAAAATTTTCGACACAGGATAGGTTAATATATTTTTTCCTACATAACTGGTTATCTGAAATATCGATTTTCCAAACAACCCCAGTCCCCAATTGATTCGGATAATCAATGCTCTACTGTATTTAATTTTGATATGGGTAATACAGAGATATGCAAACTACAGAAAACTTGATATGTATGGAACCAGGGCAAGCTTGACAAACATGTTTCGTCAGTCATCTCATTACGTGATTTATTGAAGAAGTGGTTTTTATTGAATGTGTGGGACTTTTACTCAGAATTCTTACAAATGCTATTGACTTCAGTAACCCAAAGTGGAATGTTAAGGATGTCCAATTCATTAAAGTCTTTTGATAAACAATAGTTTGATTTGGACTGTTTGAGGTTAAAATGGAAAAAGAATAGTTTATTAAGAAGATTCCTCAAACATAAATCAAGACATTTGTTTAATTTGCAATAATCTTCTAACATAAGTTATAAGTAGTATCCGGGTTTTTGGATGCCACACCCACTCGGTTTTTGAAAGGGGCAGAGTGCAAAAAGACAAACTATGTCAGTTTTAGTGCAGTAGGCCAACTCATTGCCAAACTGTTTAGCACCCAAATGGTAAACTGTCCAAAAACAATGACTAGCACCCAAACCATATATTTTGCACCCAGTTTCCCCCTTTTTAACATTTTCAAAGAATATGTTGACAATTATCTCTCTTTTTTTGTGGTTTTATTAATTCACTTGAGGGGAAAAAAACAAATTCATTAAACCGAATCATGTATGCTGAGAAAAAAATACGATAACAAAAGAAGAGAGTAAGCTAATTAAGAAAAGGGAGAAAAAGGGAATTTTCTGGACTAAACAACTAAACTTCAGGGTTGTTCTAAGAATGTAAACATATTCATTGAAAATCTGCAACACATGTTTTCTTTTAAAAAAAAAATAACAATCTAGAACAGCGTTTCTCAAAGTGGGCGATAACGCCCCCTTGTGGGCGCTGGAGGCTTTCAGGGGGGCAGTAGAAGGCTCAAAGAGAATTGGGGGGCGTTAAGGAAATATAGAGGGGCGACGGCAGACAAATTCTATATATAAAAATTCGACGGAATATATATAAAATGTTGACATTTTATATATTTTTTATTTTTTATTGAAGGTCACAACTTGAATATTTCTAACACATTGACTTTTATTTTAGCTCAGCGTTTCTCAAAGTAAGCAATAACGCCCCCTTCTGGCGCGATGAATAGATCTATGATAGAGGCAGGGTATTGAACGGTGACCAAAGGCAAAATTGGGGCTGATAAGAGGAAACATTGCGTTTAATGGTTTCCAGATGATGAGAACAATGTACAGTAAGGGCACAAAGTGTGAGATTCATAGAAAAGTTTTCCTAAGAATATTTCCAATCCTTTTCTCACACAAGAGAAAATGGGTTAGGGGGCGTTGGGTATAACTTTATGGAACAAAGGGGGCGGTGGATCGAAAAAGTTTGAGAATCACTGATCTAGAAAATTCTGTATTGATGTCACCTTACCCTAACTTGTGATTGCAACAGTTCCAATTTCCTTTGTTTGGTGTTGGCAACATTACAAAATGGCAAAATTGTCCGCACCTAAACTGAACATTTTAGCAAATAAGCTTAAAGATGAAGTTGTATGCATGGACAGATAAGTTATTCACTGTTCCATTTGCAATTATGTGATTTCAGTTGATGTTAAACATCAAGAAATGAAAATCAGATGACACGTGAGTTTGGAAAAGCATAGAGGAGACAAGTACAAAAGGAGAAATTTTGAGAAGACGTTTATAAGGGCCTCATTTCAAAGAGTAGAAGAATCTCAGAAGGCTATTAATACATTTTATGCAGATTTAACAATTGCTCTTCTGCAGCCAAATATACCCTTATATAAGGTAAACAATCCAGCCTTTTAAGTCATTTCTCCAGAAATATACGGAAAAGCTTTCCCCAACGAGAGCACTCTTAGGAAAAACTGTGAAACCAGTTTATGATCAAACAATATCTAAAATCCTGGACGTTGTCAGAGACAATCCTATAGTGTTTATACTGGACGAAACAATGGATTTCACAAAACTGTACATGCTGAACGTTGTTGTTGCACCACTGACCGGATTCCTTGTACAACCAATGTTGTTCAAAATGTACCAACTTAAAAATATGAACTCAACTACAGTGTTGTAAGCTTTCAATGATGTTTGTGTCAAGTTGTGACCAAATGGCGTCCAGTACGAAAAGGTTTGGCTTGTCGTTACAGATCAAGCATCTTACACGTTGTTAGCATTCTCAAATTTAAAGTGCATCTACAACCTAAAGCATGTAACTTGTCTTACCCATGCCCTACACCAGGGATGGGCAACCTTTTTCTATGTAACGGCCACATAGAAAGAAAAGAGGAAAAAATGTCCATAAATCACAATTATTTATACATATATAATTATAAAGTAGCATAGGTATACTTAATTTAGCTTCTGGAATTGATGTAAATGTAATATATCAAAAATATTTGGTTAAATATTAGTCACTGCTAGCTTTAAATTAGTTTGATGTGTCTGTTATCCGGTTTTTTGTTTTAATTTTTACTAAATTCTTTGTAGAAAAACTATTCACAATAATACATAAGTTGTAGAAAATAACATTTGAATTTTTGCTGCATACTTCCTTAAGCGGGGAATTTGATATATTTATTCATATTTTACATGGGCTGCAAAAAAATATTACTGCAGGCCGCAGGTTGCCCATCCCTGCCCTACACCAAGTATGTGAACGTATTCATGTAGAATTGAGCAAGACTAATGACTTAATTTTGAAAATGAAAATGATTCTTCTCAAATGCCCTAGTTGGAAGCACTTGTACCAACATGTAACTGGGCTGCCACGATCACTGGGACACCCAGTCTAGTGGCCACCCGTTGGGGTTCTTGGATGAACAGTGTGGTATTCTGCTGTGAGAACATTAGAAAAAATTAATGCATTTATCAACGAACTTCTTGGCGATTCTGTGGCTGTCGACACAAAAAATTTCAACAGAATTTTTATACACAGCAACAACTTGTATGTTATCAAGGCATTTTGCACAATTTATTTAGTTATTTGCACATTATATTTTTTTATCAGACAATTTTATTGGAACACACTATAGTTGCGAGAAGCGTGTTTCCAACAAACTCTTCTGGAAGTGCGGCACGCCGGATCGGAAGCTCTCCGGCCAACCTTAAACTTTCTTTGGTTGCCTGATTTTCATAGACTTGCGATTTGGGCTCGAAGAAAATCAATTTCTGTATTTACAAAATACCACATTTTGTTTCCCGCAGAGGAATGTCGACAGCGGTTCACATTAACATTTGCTCGATTCAGGCACGTCATCTTACAGATAAAACCTGTACAATTTCATAATATATATATTGTTTATTTATATATTTACAATTTGCTATGATTTTGCTTGTTGGAAAAAAAGCTTTAAATAATTTTTAAAAACTTTTGTATCTGATTTTAAAGCCTGACAATATTCATGAATCTGTTGTGGCGAGACTCTGAGAGTCGGAAGATATTGACTTTGCAGATAATTTACAAATTCGTCCCCCTATGAAAAATATATTTTTGTATATTGTCAAAATGCGAATTAGTAATTTCATATTCGACGGTTCTTTGTCAAATACTTACTCGTTTATCTAGAATGGTTTTTAGACACGTAGCACTTTCTGACAAAGCCTATTACCGCAATGACAAAATTTATTTAAAGAGAAAGAAATAAAAGCATTATTCCTCTAAATATATGTAAAAAGAGCATACCAGAATTGTCTGAGCATCCGTCAGATCAAAAGTATCTTTCAAAGGAGCTACAAAACAGGCAGGGACAATTGATTTATAGATGAAATCAACAAAACCGGGGATACCGTCCGAACCNGCGAGACTCTGAGAGTCGGAAGATATTGACTTTGCAGATAATTTACAAATTCGTCCCCTCGTTTATCTAGAATGGTTTTTAGACACGTAGCACTTTCTGACAAAGCCAGAATTGTCTGAGCATCAGTCAGATCAAAAGTATCTTTCAAAGGAGCTACAAAACAGGCAGGGACAATTGATTTATAGATGAAATCAACAAAACCGGGGATACCGTCCGAACCACCCCATAACTCCACCATCTTCTTAAGTATACTAAAACAAGAAACTGGTGACTAATCTAGTAGTGAGCGCAAAGATCTGATCTGTGAATTTGTACAAGTTAATGGATAAAATCAACGAGCTGGAAATATATGGAACTGAAATGCAGGATCAATGAAATGTTGTAAGTCGGGCGCTTGATGTACTAAATGGTTTTGCCATAGACAAATTCAAATTTACTTTATCAAAAAATCCCAATTTGAAAAATATTTTGGATTGCACTGAACTATAATTCCAAGTAAAAATGAAGCATGTTCCTTAGTCTCGGTCAATGTAGAAAGGTCTTTTTTCCTATATAAAGACATTCTATCCTCCAAATGAGAAAACTTCACTTTTAAACACATTGAAATGGTTACTGTTGTAAATTACAATGCTGATCTTTACGTGTAAATTGCAATAAACAACTATGTAGTTTGTATTTATAATACTTCTTGTTGGTTTTTGTCTTAATACAGCATTTAAAAGCATCCAAAATGGGGAAAAAGCACCCAAATGAACACCCAATCCATTCTAAAAATGCACCCAGAAATCCAGACATTAGTTATAAGATATTGTGTAAAGCTAAGAAAAAATTATTTTAAGTCAAAAATAAGCTACAATTACAACATACTAAAAATACAAAAGAATTTGGATCATTGGTAAATAAGTTCAGAATAAGGAGGCATACTATAAATGTAATCTCAAATGAGATTTGGTTTGATTTCTTGAAACTGCATTTCTCAGGGCCTCATACAGTTATTCTATTAAACAATTTTTCAATTAGAAATATCCCTCTTCTAGATGAACCAATATCTCAGTCAGAACTAGAATACGCAGTAAGAAAATTAAAAGTTCACAAATCACCTGGCTTGGATAAAATCAGAAACGAAATGATTAAATGACTTCCAACTGAAATATTAAATGACATTTTAAATATGTTTAATTCTTTTAAATCTTATGGCAAATTTCCTACTACTTGGAAACAAATCTGTTTTAAAATGCTATATAAAAAAGGAAACAGATTGCTACCAATCAATTATTGTCCAATAGCTTTAATTAACATATTAACAAACCGTCTTCAAGTATCGTTATAAGTGAACAATATTATCACTCCTCATCAAGGAGTTTACGTCAGGAATAGAGGTGTCGAATATAACTTGTTTATTTAAAATTAAATTGTTCAATTAATGCTATTAAGAAAATGAAAAATATTATGCAGGTTTCATAGATTTAAAAAATGCTTTTGATTCAATAGATCATGACATATTATGGTTCAAATTAGAATGTATAGGCCTTTCAACAAAGTTTATCAATCTACTAAAAAATCTGTTTGCCAGTACTCATTATTTAATAGAAGAGTCTTCTTTTTTGTATAGATTTTGTTTCATCTAACAAAGGATTATCTCAAGGAGAACCCTTAAGCCCATTTCTTTTTGTCCTATTTCTAAATGATCTTCCAAACTTTTACAAGGCCAAACTTCTGCAATTGCAATTTCGTCCAATGAAAATATAAACTGTGTTCTTTATGCGGATGATGATCTGTTAATGGCAAATTCAGTCGTGGCTCTCCGGGAGAGATTACATTTACTTCAAGATTACTGTCATAATAACTATTTAACAGTTAATTTGGAAAAGACAAAAATAATGATTTTTCGTAGACGAGTTAAATTTAAAAAAAGTCACATAAATTTTATTTGCAGGTTGAAAGTTGTATCAAATTTTAAAAATTTGGCAATTTATTTTACTCCTTGTGGTTCCTTTTCTTCTCATTTGGAAAAAATTATAATTGAGGCCAAGATAAAAATCTCAAGTCTTTATGCATTTCCAATATGGAGGATATTGACAGTTGATAAAGTGGAAAAAATACAATTATTCTTTTTTGAGCAAATTTTTCATCTAAATCGTTCTGTGCCTGGGCCGCGTTGAGGAAAGAACTAGAAAGACCGCCTCTCGCCGTGAATTTATCACTGAATTTACTTTGTTTTGGAGGAAAATTATTGTGCTATCAGAAAATGACTACAGAAAACTTTTATCATCCAACAAAACACTGTCAAAGGAAATGTTATTCACTACTATTAAGAATTTGCTGAATAACCTTGGATTATCGTTTGAGAGTTGTTTGGTTTATTCTGATGATAGAGCTTTTTTAACAGACTGCAAACAAAGGCTAAGAGATATATACTGGCAACAAGATGATGTTTATTTACAAGAGAAGGATTTTACAGAAAAATTCCCAAGTAATTTTCACTCGGATCTAATATAAATTATAAACTCAAATCACTATTTATTCAACTTCATCTAAATAAATATACAATAACTCTAAATGGCAAAAGAATTAGCATATTGAATAATGCCGAATGTTTGTTTTGTAAAATGATGACAGCTATGATGATAAATCACTTGTTCATGAGTTACAAATCTCTTATGAAATAAGATCAGATATTTTTGGGATTGATTAGTTATAGTACAACCACTTTATACAGTGGCATACCATGGGGGGCAGCAAAATTTCACAATAAATAATAATAATATCTTGTAAAATTTTGAAACATCCTAATCTATACTTGCATCGCGCCTATGATAGTGCTATCGTCCGGACAGTCTGGGAATCGGCTTGCCAGGTGAACTACTAACTTTTTCATCTAAGTAGTTCCTGAGAAACCTGTTGACTTTTTTTTTTCTTTTTTGCTTGTATGATACATTTGTGTTCATATACACCACTGATATCCAAAACTGAATTTTGGTCTTATAAATTGAAATACCTAAATAAGGGGGGGGGGAGAAATTTTCCTCTGTCCTGGGTGGCTAACACCCACGGTACGCCACTGACTTTATATAAACTCTAGTATACAAGTTTTTTGCACACACACTAAAACTTTTGTAATAACAATTTTATTTACCCCCTTGTAAAGGCAATTTGCTCAATCAATAAACTAATTATTATTATTAAAATATATATAAATGAAATTAAGGAAAAAATTTTCCATTTTTTTTCTTTCTTTTGAAAGTTTGTTCATCTTACAACCAGAGAATGATCACATTTCCTTCCCGAGTCATCATCTCCAGAGGACTCATAGAATGTTTCACAAGGAAATATGCGAAAAAAGATAAAAAGATAACATGATCGGCCTGGAAAAAAAGTTTTCCTGAGAGTGTGGTCGCCAGGACAAGTCCTGACGAATTTCCAACAACCCTCGGATGGCTCCAGACGAATCTCTGTAACCCAAGCTACATCATATACAAGCAATCTTAGAAGTATGATAATGAATATTGTAAACTCTCTCTTGGCGCGCACACACCCACAAACTGTGTGTAAGGTCGATAGAATCTTGATGTTAGTTATGTTATCTAAGTTGTTGTCTAATAAATTTTTGTTTTATTGTTAAGTGGTGTCCTTTACTCGTGTGTCGCCGACGCCTCACCGACGACCCCTCTCACCTCCTCCACTCGACCTGATAAAAAGAATCCTGATCCCGGGGGTTCTTAACACAAAACCTGCCATCCTTTGACCAGTGGGCAGGCTTACCCAGCCTGTAAAGAGATCCAAAAGAGGTACAACTTCGTCCTACCTCAGAGGCTAACCACATATATAATAGAAAATAGTTGGTATTGTAATATACTTTGTTCACAAAGGTTAATAAAATCACTTAAACCTAGACCAATGTCTAAAATTTTGTTTTATTTTACATTTTTATATTGTATACAACTACAATGATGGAGACTTAATCTTAACTACTTACTTCAATTAAAAAATTTCATGTGGAAATGTCAAGAAAATAGGATGTACAAAAAATCATTTTTAATGGTACTGCTTTCTCTGCACCGTATGTCCTTTCCCTTCAATTTAATTGGGTGAAAAGTGCTGTATTCTGTCTTGACAACTGTCAGGATGGAAATAATAGTAACCTTATTCAGGTTTTTTGTAATTTTATTGATATACAGAAAACTATTTACTTGTCACATTTGCCTATACCATCTTATTTATGAGATATAAAATTAATATAAGCCTTACACTGAAGTTTAAGAATTACTTAAGCTAACATTCGTTAACTTAAATATATATCATTTTTGGGGAACTTCCTGGGTTTCAAAATTTATTGGCTATGCCTGTGTCACATAACTAAATAAATTATTTAATCATAGGCACGCAATGATAAAAAACTTGAATCACTAAAGGAATTTGCCATATTGATATGCAACAATGAATAATGATTAATTACCATTCACATTGATAAAGGAATATCGTTGACAATACTTGCTCAAAAAATAATGTGAATGTTTAATGCATTTTGACAGTGACATGATCCTTTGGTCAAACATGTCAGTGTCTTGTTATTTTGGTCATTGACATAAATGAACATTCACATCGTGATTTCACACCATTGACAGTAGCATATACAGTGTATAAAAGACTAAGCGTGGAAAAATGTCACGCAACCCATCAGTTTCGTGCACGACACGTGATCTACATTTTAGCAATCAAATAAGCCAAAAGTTCCGCTATTAATTATCTTTGGTTTTGAAAAGGTAATCGAGGATCTTAAGTATACATTTTGATTTAAATGTTTGTTGTAATTTGATTACTCCTATTTTGGAAGCAGTTATATATTTATTAAATAGTTTTTTAATTACTTTTCCATTTGTAGTCACTTGAGCTGAAAATAATTGCTAATAATAGCGATTCATCCAGTTTCGTTACAATACAGTTCTATTTTATCTTCTTACTTTCTTCAGTGTTTTATAGCAGTTCTTAATTATTACAT